ACTTTTGCTTACACTTGACTTTGCTTTGTAAACTTTGTTATCAAGTCCCACTTATCATTATTAAAAACGGGAGTATGATCTGGCTGGAAATTGGTAAATGGGTAAATGGGTAAATGGCCAATCAAGTCAAGACGAAAAGTTCAAGTAGTTTAAAGCTTTGGGTTCAATGTAGTGCATTTATTCGGTATACAAGTTTGGAAGGCAGTCTAGGAGCTGACTGAGTTTAAACTGTTTTGGTCTTGCTCCAACAACTATAAGACTTGCACATTCATTAATTCAATCACATCTTGAAACTCTTAGTTATAAAATTTGAAAGTTTTGTTTTTTTTTAACTGGCTTCTATTCAAATTCGATGCGAATTTGCAAAGTTTAACAACTTGCGCTTTAACTTTGCACTGCTGACTAACAAAACCCAACCAGAACACTTGGAGGACATCTTCGAGCTGTTGAGTACACATATCTGTGTGCGATTGTATGGGAATACCTTTTATGCCCAAGACCCATAAGAAACTTTGATTTTATACAACTCATCGTTGTTCGCAGTTCGCAGGGAAAAACCACAAAAATATATGTCAGTACTGCTCGACTTGGCAAATATCTCACAATTACATAAAAAGCAGTTTTCAAGCTGCATTTTTAAAAGAAACTGTATTAAATGTACTTTTTTTTATTCTAAATTTTTGATTTGCAATTGAATACACTTCATAAATACCGAAAAATACAAATGGAGCAGGAGGGGAAAAACAATTAACAATTTAATCAACTAAGAATCAGTAAAAAGAAAAACCATGATAAGAATGGGGTACATGAAATACCCATCCAATCAAAAGATATGCTGATTGACTATTTAATTGAGTCCAACCCATTTCTTACCAATGTCTTCATCACATTGGCATTGCCTACTGCAGCAAATTGATAGTTACAGGGCATATTCAGCTGAAGCTTGGTAAAATCGCTTTGTCAGCTTTGTGTCAGCCACACACATAAGAACCTTTTGTGGCCTGGCCAACAAGGGAGACACACACAGGTATGTATGTGTATATGTACACAACTAACTTAATGTATATGTATAGATAGATAGAGTGTCAACTGTTTTTGGCCAATTGTTGCGCATGAGAAAATGCAGCGCCTCAATAAACTCGATTTCTGCATAGAGCCTTTTCAATTTGCTACCTGGCTGTGTAAAGAAAGGGTTAAAGGATGGGAGTGTTGCGAAACACTACAAAACCATACAAATACATTTGTATTCTGGGAACGGTAGCCGGCTGATGCTGATGCGTTTTTTATGCTTTGGGGTTGAAACGTGCATAGGGTTAAAGGGTTAAGCGACAAAAAAAAAAGAAGCGTTTTCATGGCATTTTTATGGTATCTGCGTACGTTGGCCTGGTCCAGCCTGCCCATAAAACAGCAAAAGCAACAACAGTTGTAAACGCTTTTAGATGCTGTCGCGCCACTTCGTTCCATTCCATAGCATTCCAATGCAATTCCACTGCGCACCGTTGCGCACGACAACGGTAAATTGCATTAGAGCCTTAGAGATGGGCGCCGACTATGCAAAATATAAAAGAGTGAGAGGGAAGGGCGTGGGGAGAGGGGCAGAGGAAAGAGGTACACATAAAAAATGATTATATATATATGTATTATTATATTATTATACCCATATACATACATATGTATTATGATCCTTATTTCACACATTCAAAATTCATTTTCATATCGCGATTCGAACCGGCTGACTCAACAACTGACAACTTTGTATAATAACAAATCCAAGCACAAAATTGCAATGACATCGCACAATGACTTTCTTTATACAATATTATAAAGTTGAACCTAGCCGTTATTCAAAATCTTGTTAAAGTAATGCAATTAATAAAATATGAAACACTCATCTCTAATGCACATTGCCTAAGCAAAAGCTGTCAGACAGCACGCGCGAGAGAGAGGGAGAAAGAGAGAGAGAGAGTGATCCGGAATGCGATGGAAAGGGCGAGAGAAATTTGAGTCACAGGCGGCGCTGCTGCTGCTGATGCTGGTGCTTCAGTTGGGTTGCGAACCAAATAAAAGCAAATGCCTACAGTGCCACCTGTTGTTCTCATTGTCGTTGGCGTTGTTGGCATTGACGTTGTTTGTTGTTGTTGTTGTTGTCGTTGCTGTTATTGTTGTTTTCGTTGCTACTACTTTTGTCATGTCATGCTTTTGTTTGCTGTTACACACACAAACCCATCACACCCCCACCAAAAAAAAAAAATAAACCGCCTACAGAGGTACTGAACTTTAATTGAAAAACTTTGGCGGCCGTGTAAAACATGTCGAGGGGGGCGGTGAGGTGGTAATCAACTGAGAGAGGAGGCGATTCGGTAATTTTCCTGCTGTGACAGCCGCTGGTTTCTTTTAGCGGTCAGCGGTTGGCGTTCAGTGGGAAATTAATTAATTATGACGAGAATTCATACTTGCAAACACAAACTCAGCTAATGTTGAAAACAAAAAATAAAAAAAGAATAATTAAGTTTGACAAACAGCCAATTACCGAGTTGAAAATTTGATGCATTAACTATGAGATTCATTTGAATAGTTCAAGGTTGCAGCTGGAAAAGGAGGCTATAATTGCTATAATTAAGAGCGGTTAAAAGGCCAAATTATGTTGTTACCAATGTTTCAATTCCAAAACTAGAATTGACCGCATGCGAAATGAAATTAACGATTCAAATTGTTAGCGGTTTGAAAAGCCAAATTGATTTTCCCCAATATTTCTATCTGTACAATCTGATAACATCTGTGATCACAGAGACTGGAGAGTCCATCCATTTCAAGTTCTGTTTAATGTATTATGCACAGTATAAAAGCGCACACACACACAATATATTGTAAGATGTCCCCACCTGACCATCTCTAGTCAAAACAGAACACTTTTCAATTTACATTCCACAGTCGACAAAGTGCTTTGGTCCACACAACTTGGCAGTTGTCTGTCCCACTGTCTCTTCGTCTCCGTGATGTTGTCCAATACTGAAATTCTGCTCACCACAACTGCACATCACTGTCAGCTGCAACAGCCACCATAAAGTAGATACTACGACTAACAGCGGCATTCAAGGATGTTTCACTTAACCAATCTGTAGCGTATCACTTATCATATCATATCTTGTATTAATATATTTGAATATATTTATAAGCAAATAAAGAACTAAAAGAGTTTTTCCACACATCCTTGGCCAGCACTGATGACTTGCTACAAAGTTGCAGTTACAAAGACCGTTTAACTACTTTAATTCTAATATTATATTTATTGTACTAGATCCTGTTATTTGAGCACATAGCAACCAAAAAGTTAAGCAAAGCAAAGGTCCTTGGACCAGAGTTTTGCTGCAGTTTTCCACTTGTGTGCGCAATCATTAAATGCATTCTTTTCTGTTGTTTTTTTTTTTTGTGTGCTTGTGTTCTGGAATTTGCAAATGAACTTTCAGCTGGAACTGTTTGTCAAGTTTCCCAGCTTGTGGCCAGTTGAATCATGTTGTTGGATGCATTTGTTGCTTTCGCAGCTGCCACATTGCCACACACACTTTCACAACGGCCAAAGCAGCCCACAAATTCGAAAAGTTCAACCGTTGCAAGCATAATTTCAACGATAATTATAGAGAGCCGAGTTGCATGGAAATTTGAATAGCAAATCCAATTAAAACGGACGCACCATCGGAGATTTGAATAGCTCGCACCTGCTCAAGCGCACCCAAGCAGCCATGTGAAATATAATATTTTCGCAGCTCTCTCATGTGGTATTAACATACATTAATTTCCCATTTATACAATTACATATGAATAATGCGAATACGCGCTGTGATTGCAAACTGCGAAATTATAATAAGCGTATTAAATAATCAACATTAATCAAACTGAATAATATTCAATGTTATTGATTTACCTTTGACTAATTGGGCTCTTTGTGTCTTTTAGATGCGAGCAAGTAAGTAAATAACGTCTATATAAAATATACATGCATGTATATAAAAAGGTAAATATATAATCGATACATTATATATGTTGGCCATATTAAACTGAATAATTTGCTAATTGGCAATTGTTGAACTTTGCTGTCATCTCGAGTGCCTTTTAATTAGAAGGACCTCTATTGAGTTACGACATATTGAATTTGTACTTTAGACGCAAGTTGCATGCACAAGTGGCACAGCAGAAATGCAACAACAATTGTAGCATGCCCGATGAGGGCGTTGCTGACATGCAAAAGCCACGTTCATGTCGCCTGATTGACATACAAAGGCATAAGGAAAGGAAATTGAGGGGCATCAACTGCAGCTGCTGCTGCTGGTGCTGCTGCTGCCACATGACTTGAACAGACACGCACAATCTGACACGGTCCTCTACCGCCTAACCAGTTGATTGTGTGGGGCGTCGCATCCGGACATCATTATAATCATGAGGAGTAGTTGGAGCATCTGTGTGTGTGTGTGTGTGTATGTGTGTAGCCCCCCTTCTGATCTCGGCCATTAACAATTTGCGGTCATGTCTTAAGTGCCTACGCTGGCGTCAAGTCCTTTGCCTGGTGGCAGTTACAACTTGAACGCGGATTGGGCGCAGGGTCAGAAAATGACAGGCCATTAGCCAAGTGGCTTTGTGTGTGGGTGTGTGTGTGTGTGCGGAACACGTGTCCATTTATGAGCCGAAAAATCAAAGTCGGGACTCAGAACCCACAACCCAACCTAATGACAGGTCATAAAAATATGCAAAGCAAACGCAATAAGATTGCAAGTAAAGTAATTGGGTACCTGAGATGCCAGCCTGGAAGTTTGATGATCTGATGAAATGGATACCTGCATTGGCAGGCCTACTGTTACCTATTCGCAGGTACTGTACTCGAATCTGTCGTCGAATTCAAATATAAATGCAGCAGCCGCTTGCTGCACAACACACAGTAGCCACTTGGCAGTCAAGCAGCTTACAGTAAACCACACTCGAAGGAACCACAAAGGAAAGCAAGCATTATGGGTAGCACTCACTCCACCACCGCAACTACTGCAACTACCGCGGCATCAACCAAGACGGACAACACACCAACGGATTGCGCTCTCTGCTGTCCAAAGTTTGTCGGACTGTTGGCCAAGTTGCGTCGCACTTTGACGCATCATTTGCGACCGACCCGCAAACGTCGTTGCGGCTTCCAGCGCGGCTGTGGTGCACGAACTGCTCTGCTGCGTCCCATGCCACGCTGCTCCTCCTTTGGCAGCTGCAGCACGCTGTTGGTAACGCCCACAAGCAGGCCCGGCAAGCGCAGCGAAAAGAAGCCCAACGCGACGGACAACTATGCGGAATGGAAATGCATGTTCGAGCATGCGTCCGGCCAGGGACTACTTGCCCCAGCGGCGCACCGGCCGCACGACATTAGCGAGGCGCTTTCGGGGCAGACAACGCCACGTGGCTTTCCATCGCACACGGATGCACGCCGTTGCCCACTGCCCAATGTCCAGCAGCAGGGGCAACAGATGGAGGAGCAGCCGCTCTATGACTACATGGGCGATAGTAAGAAGTCGCGTCGCCGCCTCAGCTTTCGATTGCCCAGCGGCAGCAGCAGCAATCAGGGCAGCGTGCGGCGTCTATCGGCACGCCAGAGGGCCGCCCAGGCCAGACTGGAGGAGCAACTGCAGCGGGAGCTGCGCGATCTGGAGGAATACTATGGCGGCTTTCACTATGCACGCCGCAACGAACGACGCATTTGAGATAAGAACCTTGTGATAGCTTTTAAGTTGATATAGTTTTTTCTTTTTAAATTTCAAAATGCTTTTCTTTGAATAAAATTCAAAATTGAAAATCAGTTGTGGAATATATATATCATAACCATTCAAGTGGACGAATTGATCAGTCGGGCGTAAGATATTAAAATAGTTCTTGGAGCTAACTTTTCATATGCTCACTTATCAATCAATCAATTAAACAATCAATGTTACAAATTGAATGAACAATTGCGAAAATAAGCAAATTCATAAATCAGCAATAGATATATCATTCAATATACATAAAACCTGCGCTTATTTATCACACCAATAACCAATTTGATTAATATTTAATCAAATATATTTGCATAAAAATAAACTACACTCATGTGTACAATTTGAATAATAAATATGAATTTTTCATTGGGCTGCCCCCAGCGAAATACATAATTAAATTATAAATTATAAAAAGAGCGCATCAAACCCAAAGCAAAATTCATTTGAATTTAAATCAAGAAAATCAGAGCTGATTGCATAAGCTTTGTCTATCTTAACGATGCAATTCAAATAGCTTGAGTACAAAATGAATGCAACACGGTGCTATCCACTACAAGTGCATCCGCTCTGTGATGTCTGAAGGTGAGGATAAAGCTGACCCCAGCAAATGTAAGGCGAGTTCTTGTTAGAGTGGAGGCAACAAATCTCGAGAAAATTCTACAATTTGGCCGCAATTACCGAACGCCCCTTAATGAGGGCAGGGTCAGTGGCTGTGGCAATTAATCAGAGTCAATGAATTTGCTGCCAACTTGCTGCGCGCAGCAGTCAGCAATAAACCGATAAAAAATAGAAAAGAAATGCAGCCAACAAATGCAAAAGCCAAAAAATAAAAACGCTCACAAAATTGTGTGACACAGAAAACGGCGACGGCGGCTGACTATTTATCTGTGAGTACACTAAAATAAAATCGCCCTGAAAAGTAGAACAGCATTCTTCAAATTAGAAAGCTTTTCTTGTTTTGAGAAATAATTTCGAAATATAAATAAACATTTTTCATAAAATTACAAAGGTTTTTTTTCTTGTCTATTTTTTCTATTATAAAGAATCTACACTTCTCTTTTCTGAGTGTATCTATGCATATATGTGTACATATATAAGTGTGGATGTGCACGGTTGATTAGTTGGCCCAGAAGCGTTGAAATATATTTTTAAGCCCCTAACAACTAGATGAGAATATATAGTATATAGTTGTAGTATATATATATGAGAAATATATAGTTCTAAAATTATATACGGTTTTGATAAAGTGTCAATTAATTAGCCTAAAACTGCTGTTTTGCATCAGTTTGCAGCTGTCGAAACTAATTAGAATTTGATTAAGATGAACAAGCCAGAAGAAAATTAAATAATAAAATAAAAACTGCAAAATGCGAAATGCGAAATGCGAAATTCATTCATTAGTCACAAAGAAGATGAGGCAAGAGAAGAAAAAATGTGCGTTGACGTCTGGCTGGCTAAGATGGGATGGGATGTGATGGGATGTGATGGGATGGGGGCCGAAGAGATGGGAATTCGAAAGATTTATGAGACTGCCAAGTGGCTAGTGAAATGCCAAAAGCGACGCGCCACATAATGCAAATGCCACAATGAAATATTTGTGGCACTTGTGGCGCCGACAGACACGAGGCACACTACACTGGGCCACAACACTGACAACAAGTTGAACGAACCGCAAAAGCTGACCACAAAAAAAAAAAAAACAAACAAAACAAAAACCATGCTAACCAAGCAAACCAAGCAAACCAAGCAACAAAAATTAGTTCAAGTTCAAAGAGTTCTCGTTTCAACTTGAATGAGAAATTGTGTGGCAGATAGCAAATGGACTCAATCAAGGGTTGTCCAACACTCTAACACGCTGGCCTATTTAAATCGCAGATACTACCCAAAATAAGTATGTATATCTAGCACATTTATCCAAATCGTTCTTGCCCATAGCATGTTGAAGCGATCCCATTCTGGCCATTTCGATATTGTCCACTTAAGGGGGCCGTGTGTGCTGTGTTCCTTGTGTTGTTTGGCTTAATCGTAAATGCCAAAATCAATAGACAACAACAAAAATCCAATACCAAAGCCAAAACAAAAGCCACAAGCGACGCATCACGTGTGTGTTTGGCCGAGCAAACAAATTCAACAAATGAAAACTAATAGGCAATTATAAGCAAATGTACACAGCAAACGGAAAATAGAACAACATGAGAAAAGCAAGCAGACAGAGAGATAGGGTGAGGAGAGCGAAGAGCAAACAGTCAGACAGTCAAATGAAGCATGCAACATGCGTCGACATCGAAAGCGACGGCAACACCCGGCGTATGAGTAACGAGTCTTTCCCAAATATCGCACACATACGAGTATGTTGAAGCACAGCAGCTAATGAGAACAAGTCAGCGATTGTAATGCATATTAATATCTTTAGCACGGATATGAAATAAGTGAACTGAGCAGATAAATACGGGCAGCGATCTACACTACAAAAAATATATTACAAATATTATATACATTACACATTTGTAATTTTAGACTTTACACAAACCGTTCTCGGCTATGTCGACGATAACTAAACTTTAACATAGTCTAATATAATTATAAGTTATAATTATATATTAGCTGGCACAGCCATAACTTAAAAAATTCTGAATAAATTTTAATCATTGTTTGAAATTTGCACACACAAATAAAAAAAAAGAAGAAATTTATAATAAAATTGAGGTGTCAGCAGATGAACTTCGATCTGCAAGGGCATATAATCTTCGCTGATGGCCATTTTTTCTTGTTATAATGAAAGAGTTAACTGGCACACCTATTGCATGTACAATGTAGAAAAACACACACACTTTTTAGATATTTGTTGTGTGTTTGAGTTTAATGCAAATGAGATGGAAGGGCGTTCAATTGTAAGATGACAACAAACAGCAGCCCAGCACAGAGCAGAACAAAGTGACTCGGATTTGCCAACAGTAAACAGCCAGCAACAACGAAAGCAAAGCAATCAAGGAATGGAAAGGAGGCCATAACCAGAGGAACAGCAAGATAAACAGCCAACATATACTTTGGCCATTTTTTGGGGCAGACTTAATGCCGCTGCAGTCGAGGCCGAGGCCAAAGCCAAAGCCGAATGTGAGCCACAATGAATCACAGTAGCACTCACTACACTCTACCGTAACCCCCCCCCCCCCACCACCACTACCCCTTATTCATACCTAAAGGCAATTACGCAGCACTAAGAGAGGGCAACATAAATGATTGCATACGTGCAGGCGCTGTGGCTGTGGCTGTGGCTGGCATCATTTTGGCTAATCAAATAAATTCCTCAGTTTATGCGAATTGCCACATTTCACGCATTTAAAGTGGGTCGCGACTTTCTTTCTCTCTCTCTCTCTCTATCTCTCTCCCTCTGTCTCTGCGCCTCTTTCGTGGAGGAGCCTGGTGGCAAAAGACAGCTATTTTTCGAGCCACAAAACTTAATCGTTTGACAATTTGAAGTTTCTTTTTTTATATTTTTTTTAACAGCTCATTGGGGCGTACGCTCAGTGTGAAGAGTGAGGGCGTGGAGGGGGGAGGGGTAGAGCGGAGTGGGTAAGACAATGTGGGCGTGTGCCTAGCCTTGTCAATATCACTTTATTCCTCATTCAATCTAGCTATAAGTGAAAGGAAATTGAAAACAGCGAACAACAAGGATGTTGGCTTCTTTCCGCTTTTTGTTATTTTTCAAGTGGTTGAAATAAATAGAGACGAGCAGAATCTCACACAATCATTTATTAACGAGCAACTAGTCAAATAACTTCAATAACTTGGCATCAATTGTATCGTTAATATTTAAACACTGGAAGAAAGCAAGCTGTTCTCGCTCGTTAAAAGTTGGCAACACTAATGAAATGAATATCGAGGGTTATTTACCCGCACTTGCCAGCTGGGCAAGGATTGAATAAAGTCTTTTAGAAATAAGCTGTCTGTCAGCCAACTCAATTGGTTGCCACACCCACACACATACACTTATTCTGCAATGTTTCTGTGAAATTTGATTACGTGGTGCTTATTATTATATTTTTTTCAATTTATTTGCAATCTTCACATTGGTTCGATGACAAGGCCGCCGTTAGCATTGACAACAAGAGCAAGTTGGGTCCGTCGCTTATCGCCTCCGCCTCCGCCCCCGCCTCCCCGTCTCTGGCCGTCTCGCATCACTGCTTCATTCTTTATTATCCAACGTTCATGCCTGTTTGTGTGGTTGGCAACGTCATTCGCAGCCGTTATCGTTGTGGCAACGCTATCAAATCGTTTTATTTCCCTTTGACGCTTCCGACGGCGGCCGTTGGCGCAGCATCGCTGGCGACACTCATGCCACTCTGTAATTGTATTCCTTATGCATATATTACGTGCTGCCAACCCACCCCCTCCAATCCCCTTACCCCTTACCACCTTACCACCTTATAGCAGCAATGTTGCGCGTCTGTTATGCGACGCTCGTGACGTAGATTGTGTGCAAATAATAGCAATATGGTAACAATCTTTATGCCTCTAACACACTGCATTAACACATTCTGCTGACTCAATTGAGTGCGTATTAGGAAAATGGCAACTGCAATTTAATTGTTTCTTTCGAGTTTCCTTAAGTGTTTCAAATTGCTTGTTACTCTGTTATGGCGAATGTATCTAGCAACTAATAAAAATAGTATCTAATTATAATCATTTACCGCTAATTAACATTAACAGCTAACAACTATTTCAAATATGGCAGCTGCCTCAGCTGTGTCAGCATCTTTCTTCCACATTCATTCATCATCACCTTTTGTGTGTTGAGAACTGGGCAAGTGTGTTGCAACTGTTCGCTTTGCAGGGTATTTGCCAGTCGCGAATGCCAATGCTAAAGTCTGACAACCTTACGTGTGTTCGTTGTTAGTATCATGATTGTTAATACGAAAGTTTTTGCTCCCTTCGCTGGTCTGTCTCCG